TGGTTATGGTTTCAGAGGTTTAGTTCATTATCATCATGGCAGAGAGTTTGGTGGTAGACAGGCAGGCATGGAGCTGAGAGCTCACATCCTGATCTACTGGTAGGCAAGCAGGGAGATACACTGGGCTTGGCATGGGCTTTTGAAACCTCAAAGCCCACCCCAGGTGACACACCTCCAACAAAGCCACACCTATTCCAGAAAGGCCATACCTCTTAATCCTTCCCTAACAGTTCCACTAACTGGGAACCAAGCATTCAGATACTGCTATGGCGGGCATTCTCGTTCAGGGGCTATTCTCTTCAAACCACTATACATGGTCTTCCAACCACCGGGCAGGTCACTGTATTTTTTTTTTTTTTTTTTTTTTTGGTTTTTCGAGACAGGGTTTCTCTGTGTAGCTTTGCGCCTTTCCTGGAACTCACTTGGTAGTCCAGGCTGGCCTCGAACTCACAGAGATCCGCCTGGCTCTGCCTCCCGAGTGCTGGGATTAAAGGCGTGCGCCACCACCGCCCGGCAGGTCACTGTATTTTTAACCACCTTCTAGACTAAGTTTTAAAACCTTTCTGGTTCCCCAGAAGGGTGCCTCAGGCCCTTTCCCAATTGATAATGTCTGTCCCCTAGGGTTTTAAATAGGTCTTACATTTTGAGGAACTGTTCTTAATGCTTTACCCTTGAGAGAGATATCTCTACTGTGAGGCCTTTTACAAAAGTCAAATATCTTTGATGTTTTTTATCTGTAGGTGGATTAAGAATTATATAAAGATAATGTGTAAAAATGCCATTTGAGAAAGTGGACAAAAATACTAACTGCTGGATTTTATATTTATTCATTTATTGTTTATTGAGCATTTGTTGTGTGCCAACTTCAGCCAGTGGTAGAAATACATAGTTTCTGATCTCAAGTTGCTAATATTCTAGATGAAAGAACTCCCAAGATAGACAAACCTTCAGCTGTAAAATAAGAGAAACACAAAGGATTTGGCCTTAAATCTGCTTAGGATGTCAGGGAGTCATCTGTAGAAAAAGCTGAACTTAAGCTAAAGTGAGTTAGTTGCCCAGGAGGATAAAGTGTGGGGAGAATTTGGAGGGGTAGCACAGAGAACGGTGTGTATAAAATCATGGGGTAGAGAGATTATTATGTATATCTTAATCTTATGTTGTGAGAACTACTGTAGTAATAATTGCTTAAGTGTATAGAAGAGGCAGATGATGGGGAATGATAGAAGACCAGAAGCTTCTAGATTTTTTTCAGATGAGCCTTACAGTTTGTTTAGAGAATTTTCCACAGAGATGAGTCAGATTTGAGTTAGTAGACGAGCACTGTTTGCATGCTTATAAGGCATGGTTTATAGGAGGGTAAGATTGGAACTAGCATGATCAGTCTGTCCTGATATATGAGGAAATTAAGGCACAGACAGGTAAGGAGCATGCCCAAGTTGTATTTAGTAGAGGCAGACAGCTTAAGTCGTTCATATCCTGAAGTCTCAGCTATTTACTCAGTGGGAAAAGTCTGAGAGGAATGGGACTTGGAGGGGCTTGGGTGCTTTCAAGGGGGCTGCTGTGCCAACTGGAAGGTGGTATCTCCCCAGTTGGCTTTTGTATTCTATCTACATCTGTGTTGTTTGTTTTCCAAATAGTTGAGGGATGTCTCATTTTAGCTGCCGTTATTATTAATTCACAGAAAAAAGTCCAGAATATTGACCTAATTTTACAAACAAGTTGCATTATCAGCTGATGAATACATGAGAAATTTTCAAGACTTTCACAGTGGTTTTAAGGTAAGTTCAGTTTTTTTTAAGGCAATACTCATCATTGTTCCAGTAATAACACATTAAAGTTTGTTTTTAATAAGAAATTGAACTTAACCTTAAAAACACTGTGAGAAGTCTCAGCCTTCTGGCCAAGATCAAATATGAAAACACTGAGACCCTTAAGCAGTTCCCTGCCAGCTGGTCTTATCCCAGGCTCAGGTTGAGCCTGCCGTCTTTGCTAGGTGGTTGTCAGTAAAGCTTCCCCACAGTGTGCTCTGCGATATTCCACTTGAAAGATGAAAAACCGGGTTTAATAAAGGCTGAATCCTAGTTTATAAAGTTGTGATCCCTGAGTCCAGGAAAGGGGTGTTGAGTAAGGCAGTGCCCGTCCCTGAAGAAGAGTGGGCTACTGAGGCGGTGGAATTGCTGTTGATACTGTGTAGAGTGCTCTTGAATTGTCTATAACTGAGCTGGGTCAGACCCACAGTGGTGGCATGTGTCTAATGATCTTATTTAGAATATGCAAGTGATGAGTTGTTTGGAAAGCATTTTAGATACTAGTAGTACATTCTGTGTTGTGTGTGCATTCACTACATGTGATGTGTCAGGAAGGCAGGGCAGTGGAAAGTTGAGCAGGAGCTAAAGTCCTGTGTCCATCCTTGGTAATGTCGTTGCAGTGTGAGCCCTAGTTTACTGTTGGTCACTGTGTGATTGATATTCACTATGTGGAAGAACGCTTTTAAGACGGATATATAGTGGGTCTAAAATATTTTTTAAGATTTGTTTTTATTTTGTGTGGATACCCATAGAGGACAGAAGAAGACAGTGGATCCCAAAACTGGAATTACTGGAAGTTATGAGTTTCTGATGTAGATACTGGGAATTGAACTCAGGTCCTCTGGAAGAGCAGTATGTGCTCTTAACCACTGAGCCATCTCTTTGGCCCCCAGTGTTTTACTTTGGTTGCAGGTTGTTTATTTGTGTACTTGAAAAAGGGTCTCACATTGCTGAGGATGACTCTGAAATCACAATCCACCTGCCTCTATTTCCTCAGTACTGGGATTGTAAATGTGTATTTACAAATTATCATTTATACCCAGCCACAATTTTTTATTTTTTAATTTTTTATTAACTACTAGTTTGTAGCTATTAATAATCTTTATGAATTGGGACCATTAAACTCACAAAATATAGGACATTGGGTTTATTAGAATCAGTGTCTCCTCAAAAGCCAGAAGAGGGTGTCAGATCCGTGGAGCTGGAGTTATAAGCTGCTGTGTGCTGCCTAATGTGTTTTGGGAACCAAACTCAGATCCTCAGCAAAAGCAATGTGTGTACTTAACTGAGCCATCTCTCCAGCCTCCTTGTTGACTGCTTTTAAAAACCCATTGAAATAAAATTTGAAATGTTATTTATTATTAAAATTTTACTTAAATAAAAATTTAAAAATAGGTTACTATTTTCAGACTATTGAAGAAAATGAATGAATCTTTTCTTGATTAGTAAGTAAGTAGTAGACACTTGGTCTTTTTTTTTTTTTTTTTTTTTTTTTCCTGAAATGGGGTTTCTCTGTGAAGCCCTGGTTGTCCTGGAACTAGCTCTGTAGAGCAGGCTGGCCTTAAACTCACAGAGATCCATCCACCTGCCTCTACCTCCCAAGTGCTGGGATTAAAGCATGCACCACCATACCACTGCCCAGCATGTAGTAAATTTTAATATTAAGAATAATTATAATATTTTAAAATTCCTTTAGTTTCTTTGTAGAGTGATCTTAAACATAGCCTTTCCACATAATTTTAAATTTAAATGTATCCATAAAGAAAAATGCATAACATTAATTTGATATTACATTAATTTATCTTTATTTTTTGCGGTACTGGGAATTGAACCCAGGCCTCTGTGTGTGTGTGTGTGTGTGTGTGTGTGTGTGTGTGTGTGTGTGTGTGTGTGTGATATGCTTGTGTGTGCATATGAGTGTGTGTGCAGCCTCCATATGTGTACACATGTGATTGCCAGAGGTCACTGTCAGTATCTTCTTCTGTTGCTCTCTTTTTTTCTCTCTCACTGAACTTAGAGCTCACTAATGTGCTAGACTAGCTGCCTCAAGGATTACCACCACACCTGGCTGCTGCTGCTTTTTTTTTTTTTTTGAAGACAGGGTTTCTCTGTGTAGCCCTGGCTGTCTTGGAACTCACTCTGTAGATTAGGCTTGCTTCAGACTCACAGAGATCCTCCTGCCTTGCCTCCTGCGTACCAGGTACACTTGGCTTTTTATGTGGGTGCTGGAGATCATGGTTATACACTAAGCACTGTATCCATTAATTCACATCCCCGGCCTCTTGAACACGTTAGGCAAGCACTGTACCACCTAGCTATCTCTCTAGCTCTACAATAATTGTCAATAAATAGCCTTCTGACTGTTTGAAACAACTGAGAAACAGTTTGGAATTTTAAAATAAGGAAAGAGGTCTGAAGATTAATTTTAAAATGCTAAGAAAAGTGTCTCTGACTTTGCACAGCCTTGGTGTAGGGAGGAGGGGCTTGGACCTGCCTCAACTGAATGTACCAGGCTTTGCTGACTCCCCATGGGAGACCTTGCCTTGGAGGAGGTGGGAATGGGGGGTGAGTTGGGGGGAAGGTGGGAGGGGGTGGGAGCAAGGAGGACAGGGGAATCTGAGGTTGATATGTAAAATGAATAGAAAATCTCTTAATAAAAAAAGAAGCATCTCTTTGGAGAACGCACATAATTTTTAAATCTAGTGTTGGTAAAATATCACAAAATTTGAAGACATGGCTTTGTTCATATCTAATGAGTCGTACAGCCAGCCCTCTTCTAAGTTCTAAGTTTTGCTCTTGTAATTATATGTGCTGCTTACAAGGAGGGAGGCATTGTCACAGCGTCAGAACTAGAAGGGGTGTAAGGGTTTGTGTTTCTTTCTATGAAAGGCACTTGTCAGTGCTTGTGACCCATCTAGAGTCTAGTGGCATTTGCTGAGCTGTCTTACTATAGACTGTGGCTGTTGTGGGAAGAAGCATCCTGGGGCTTCCCTCCTGAGAATTTCTTACCCGACTTAATAATAATGAAGAGGCTTCAAGCAGTTTTGCTCCAGTCAGTAAGCAGCCTCGCTATAATCTAAAGGTGGATGAGACTGAGGATAGGTACGCTGTTGGATAAGCTAAGATGTATCATGTCTTTATACTGAGCTGCCAGGGTATTTGCAGTATTTTCTCAAACTAGTCTATTTTTAGGTATGGGTGAGAGCAACTGTTCTTGGAACAGAAAAGCTCTGCTGCACCGAGACACGATGCTGGCAGCTGCAGCGGTTTACAGAGGTGAGCCACCCACTCTTTCTACCTGCACTCATGGAGGGGTTTGTGCTGAGTGGTGTTTGCTGCACAGTGCTAGTTCCTTCTTGTAAGGTATTGCCAGACTTCGTGGGTTTTTTTCCTCTCAAAACACAGAGCCTGTATCTCTGTATCTGTTTGCAAACAGCTCTTGTTTCCATCATGTCGCTTTTCTGTGTTAAGACTTCCTGGGTGAGGCATTCATTCTCAGTCCTGCAGCTATCCTAGTACCCATTTCTCTGTGAAGTAGGTGATTATTATTGAGTGGGTACTTCTTCTCACCTGATTGTTTCCAGAATTTAACCATGTGTGTCTTTTTAGAAATGTACAGAAATGAAGATGGTTCCATACCTGCCACATACCAGATCTATCACATGATAGGATGGAAATATCATGACTCTCAGGTAGCCTTATTAAGGCATCACTTTTCTTAGAGGGTTTGTGTTTCTGTTTGTTGTCCATTGATGATTAACTTAGGGTATGTTTTATTATACATAAAATGATTGGGGTTGTGCTGGTAGGGGCTTATCTATATCTAATATCTTTTGTTTTTATTGTTTTCAGGCAAGGCCAGCTGAAAGAGGTTCTGCAACTGTGTCATTTGGAGAGCTAGCAAAACTAAATGATGTCATGTCACAAGGAAAAAAACAATAAATATTATTTTATTCAATTGTAATGAATTCCAGAATTTTCATCAGAAATGAGTAACTTTCACATCTAAATTATTACAGTTTGAAGCAAGAAGCAACATATTAAGCTATTTGCTAGCAATCTAATACTAATCCAGGCTCAGTAACTGTTCCAGGTTCTCATTGGTTCTATTTATGTAAGGATACTGTTACCTAGTGATTTGGGCATCTTTGCAGATTTAGCCTGAAAACAAAGGAAATGTTTTCCTTGGGGGTGGGAGGAAGAACCAAATATGTGTGCATGTGTAGATGTATGATTTGGTAGGAAAACATTGCTCACACTAGTGTTCTGTACCTTTCTGCCTTCTGGTCCTTTGTTATCTCTGCGGGAGGATCACAGCTGTGAAGGTGAGAGGAGGGACAAATTGCTCGGTTCCGGGGAGTTCTTGTGCAGTACAGTGAAAACACTTTTTCTAGTGACTGCTGCAGACACTGAAGCCAAAATTATTTCTTACACTTTTCTTGTTTGTCTATTTTTGGAGACAGGTCTCACTATGTAGCCTTAGCTGGCCTGGAACTCACTGTGTAGACTAGGCTGGACTCAAACTCAGAACTCCATCTGCCTTTAGTGCTTAGATTACAGGCATGCTCTACCACACCTAGCTATTCATCTAGATGACCCGAGGAGTCAGTACATTCTCCAAAGCTACTGTGCTGTTATGGATTGTAGGAGAGCATCTCTTCACCAGATCCACCCCCTTTCCCTGGGTGTGTTACTTTTGTTGTTGTTAGTTTTGATTTTGTTTTTAAAGTTTTGTTTTATGTATATGAGTCTTTTGCCTGCATGTTTGCACCATGTGCATGCTTGGTAACTGCAGAGGCCAGAAGAGGGCATTGGATCCCCTGGAACAATGTTAAGGGTGATTGTGAGCCACCATGTGGGTGTTGGGAACCAAACCTGGATCCTCTGCAAGAGCAGACAGTGCTCTAACCATTGAGCCATATCCCCAGCTCCTCCTCCCTCATTTTAAAAGCACCTGAATACTCCTCCTCTTCTTCTTCTTCTTCTTCTTCTTCTTCTTCTTCTTCTTCTTCTTCTTCTTCTTCTTCTCCTCCTCCTCCTCCTCCTCCTCCTCCTCCTCCTCCTCCTCCTCCTCCTTCTTCTTCTTCTTTTCTTTTTTACTTCTAGGGTCTAGGTAGAATCACCATGGGTTTCTGCACTGCTTTATCTTAAGAGAAGAAGCATTTTAAAGAATTGCAGAGGCCAAATCATGTAAAAATCCTGGTATAATGCTTAAACTGTTTACGGTCAGGCTTTCCTTTGTTAATTTTAGACCTGTTGCAGTATTATTCTAATCCAAGTTTACTGTCTTGTCATCTCAGGGTCAGAAAATGTGGAAGCAGTGAAGTGTGCCACAGGGCTTCTTGTTGGAACATTTGGTCAACTGCTCCTGTTTGGGGAGTTTGTGGAATTTTAGGAGATGGGGCCTGGCTAGAGGAAGTGGCCAGTAGGGGGCCACTTATGTTTGTGTGCACACGCGCAAGTGTGTGTGTGTGTGTGTGTGTGTATGTATGTATGTAACTGGAGTTAGAATTGGTTGTGAGCAGCCACATGAGTGCTGAGAACAGAACCTAGGTCTTTTACAAGAGTAGCAAATACTCTTAATGATGAGCCAGCTTTCCAGCCTGAAATAAATATTAATTATTTTTATTATTTACACTTATTTATTTATTCTTTTGTGTTAGAGGAGGCCACACCTGTTGTAGTGAGAAGACAGCTTGCAAGAGTTGGTTCTCTCCTTTAAACAGACAGGTTCTTGGGATCAATCTGAGGTGGTCAGGCTTGGTGGCAATCACTTTTACCTGCTGCCATCTCGCTGGCTTTGAATTTTTATTTTTTTAATCCCCTTTCATAACATTTTCATCCACTAGGTGGAAACAACAATAAAAGAATTAATATTTATGTATTTTGTATATATGTTTATATATGTGTAATGTACACATTGATATGCATATGTACACATTGTATATATGTAAGTGTATTATATATGTATTGCAGACATGTTACCATTTTTATTTTGATGATGTAGTTCTTAGGTGGGGATAGAATACTAAATATTATTTTACCTTGGATTGTCTAGGAAAGAAAAAAATATGAGTACACATCTGGGGGTGGGCTAGATATTTGGTGTGGGAGAGAAAAAAGGAAGGAGAAGAAAATAGTGTAGTGGGCCCCTGGTGCATTACAACAAGTAAGAAGCTAATGCTCTTGCTAGCTGCTGGTTCTACATTTCTGTACATGTTTTCTGATGCATTTCTCTTGAAGACATGGAGCTTCAGTTTCCTTCTTGAGTACCCGAAATCTGAGGCATCAAACGAATATAGACAGAAGGGGATATTAAAAAGCATTGCTCTTTCCTGTTTCTCTCCTCAATCACTCACTTTGAGGCAAGCCAGCTGTTGAATTTTGAGGCTACCCAGGCAGTTCCATGGAGAGGATTAAGGGGTCAGAAGCAGAGAGTGCCTGCCAACTGAAATGTTAGGGAACCATGCTGGAAGCAGGTCCTCCAGTACTAGGGACATCTTAGATGACTGCAACCTTCGCTGACATTGACTACAGCCTCATGAGACTTTGAGTTAAATTACCCAGCAAAGCCACAGAAACAGATCATAAATGTTTGTCATTTATGCAATGTGATTTATTTATTTTTACAAAACAGTAACTAATATACTCTGGGACAAATTAGGTACCTAGGGTATGTTGAGTTGTAACTTTACATGTAAAACATCCTATTTATTAAAATTAGGTAAAGGTCATATGCATTTATTGCATTTATTCGCAGAGATCACAAGACCTAAGATAATTTTGCCTGGAGATTTGATTCCTTGGTATCTCAAAAAACAAGCCTCCCAGGGTACATTTACTAAGATTCAAATTTCATTTCCTATGAGTTTTGGGATCAATTTTCTGGAAGTGTGATTGGGGCTGTTTCTGAAGAAAACCAGAGAATTTGTGAAACTGACCTTGAAAATTCGGTGAGCTACACATACATTCATAGATTCCTTAGTTAGTCCCTTTTGATTGTCTGTTGAGTTACAGCTTTTTATCAAGATGACTAGGTGATACACCACACTTATTATCAGGTTCTTAAAGGAACAGAGTATATGGAAATATGAGCTTTAAAATATATACATATATATGAAAATAAAATACGACAAAACAAAAACTGTATGAGCTTTTTAAAACCCAGATTTGATCATGCTCTGTAAGTTGCTCTACCTTTAAGATTTATTTTATTTTTGTCATTTGTATATATGTGTGTAAATATATGCACAAGAGTACAGGTGCCTACGGAATCCAGAAGAGGGCATTGAATTCCCTGGAGCTGGAATTACAGGTGGGTATAACCCTCCCTACACAGGTGCTGGAAACAGGTCATTTCACCAGTTCCTTAAGTACATTTTCAAAGTAGCAAGTTTAAACCAGCCTGTTTCTAGTCTGTTGTGTGGGGATTATGTTTTCAGGATGCCCCTTAGTTTGTCAGAACCAGCTTGGCAGAGTCAAGAGCAGTTACCAAGTCTACCTGTGAATGGGAGAATGGGAAGAGGGAAATCTTAGAACATGGCAGCCTATGTAACCAAAGCCTAGAAATACAAGAAAGGAGCCTGGGAGTCAGGTGGCCTGGGATTAGCTCTGGCCCTGCTTCTGGCAATTCTGTCTCTGGCCTCAGGATTCTCATATACAAGACTACATATTTGGTTCTTGGTCTCAGGAGAGGCTCCCAGCATACCTTGCAAATTTCTGAGTGTCAAGTGAACTTCTACTGTAGAGACATGAAAAAACATCTCACCCTGGAGAAGGCACCAACAATGGACCAAAGTAATAATTCCACCCCAAAGTCCAGCTTGGTGAGCCACTGAGTTTATCAGACTTCAAGGATGGTGGGTGACCCAAAGCAGCCACACTACCAGAAAATCTAAGCATAGAAGACGACGTCCACACTATATATACTCTATAACCTAAGCCTAACCAGGAGGACATAGGCCTGGTGTAGAATTACAACTGGGAGAAAGGTATAGCAGAGTGACTAGAATCTCAGATGAAGATAGTAATGGCGTTTGAGTAGTCTCAGCAGCTCTGATGAAGATAGTAATGGCTGTTAAGCTCACAGGATGCCTTTCCACAACATTGACTTTTTCAAACATTTCCATATGCTTCCCTGTTGTTGAGAATCGTGGCCTAAGCAAACCCATTACTGAGATTAGGCACCATTGGACAGGCTGAAATGAGAGGAACATCCAGACTGACCCCAGGACATGGAACCCAAGACAGACTAACCAGGGAGGCCTTCCTACCCTTACGGTTTCTTGGATCTCTGGTTACTGGACATTTCTGCTGGTGATGTACCATGTAATGGGTTGTATTCTGGTATTTTCACAGATACATATCACTGACTTGGTTCACATTCTCCTCCTATATCATGCTGATCTTCCTCTAACTTTTCCCTTTAAAGTTTAGTTTGATTTTGTCTGTAACAAACTTTGGGAAAGAAGTAGAGAAATACATTGTGATTTACCTTAATCCTTCCACTTTGCCTTGCCTCTTCTTCCCCCTCCTCTTCCTTTTTAGACTTGGTTTTTTGGAAAAGTTGGTGGTGTCCCATGTTTCCCAGTCTGGCCTCAAACTTGGAACTTGCTGTGTAGTTGGAATGACCTTGAACCTCTGCTCCTCCTGCCTCAACTTCCCAAGTGCTAGGATTACAGATATGATCTACTGTGTGTAGTTGTATGTGGTTCTGTGGATTAGACCCAGGGCTTTGCATGATGGACAAATATGCTAACAACTGACCTATGTCTCTAGACACAAGTTGTATTTAAAAAAAATTTCTGAGCTATAAAGGAGAGTCAGTCTTTTTCATTCAGTATGAATGGCCTTCTATATTTTCTGCAGAAGATGACATTTTTCTAGTCCTAAAGAAGTAAACATTTGGAAAGTGCCCTGGATTTACCCAGATGACTGGGTCATAGCTATAATCACACAGCACTGGAAATGTTTGGGCCTCAAGTGGCAGTGGCAATACTGTGGAGGACTAGCTAGAGCAGTCTGTAATCAAGTCAGGTTGTCTGCCGGCTTCTTGAAAAGCCAGCTAAACACACGGTTCTCAAAGCAACGTCCTTTACCCTGTACAGTGCCATGGAATGATAAAGCACTTTAAAGCTCTGAGTATAGCCGGGTGGTGGTGTCACACACCTTTAATCCCAGCACTCAGGAGGCAGAGGTAGGCAGATCTCTGTGAATACAAGTCTGGTCTGGTCTACAGAGTGAGTGCCATGACTACACTGAGAAACCCTGT